TTCTTAAAAATAATCTAGTCCTACTATTAATGGGATTTACATTATTAATAGATTGGTTATCAGAGTCTGTCAGTTTAATTGAAAACCTGCAGTTATTTAAGTTGCCAAAATATGGACTATAGAACCTTCATACTGAAAGATACTTTATAAGTGCTTGCCTGATAAGCACAGGGTCCTGAGTTCAATCTCAAGTAGTGGAAAAAAAAGAAAGAAAGATACTTCACTTTGCAGTCCCAATAAAAAATTGAGTGGTTTCAAGAATTAATTTTTAGAAAATGAAGCCCTTTGATCATTCACGGATGATTTCCGTTTTTCAGGATCTTGTCCTGCTGTAATACGGTGCTTTGCACAGAGATTTCTGAAAAATGGCTCCTTTTAGGCTAATGATTTATAATCACTGTTACATGTTACTTACACAAAGAATCTTATTTCAGACTGAAACTGGAACTCCTGGCTTCTCGTATTAGCTACTTCTCTCTTAGGAGCACAAAAACTCTAGCAATGCAACATGAACTGCTTTAGTACTGTTCGTTTGCAATTCTTGTTGTCCATGGATTATAATTTACTGACTTGTTGATGCATGTAAACTGGGTGCATTTTGTTGCCGCTGTATGTTCAATGGTGACCAATGTTTTTACAAAAGAATTGAAGAAAAAAATCTTTTAAGAAATTTGGAATGTGGTTTTGATTTTAACGTTTGATTTTTTGTTTGTTTTTTTACTAATCCCAGAGGGCCTTGGTTATCTGTTGCTAAAGGAAATGAGGTTTAATAAATGGAGGTTTGTTACAAGGTGATAGCAATGTCACTGAGACAGTGCGTGGATCTGTTTCCTGCCTTCCTGAAATCCTCACTTGACATGGAACCTTTGAGACTACGAGGGAAGAAGGATTTCACCAAAAATAAAACACAGATGTCTGTGAGGAAGTTCATATTTGCAGCAGAGATAGCTAAGCCACTCCTAGGGTAATAAAGTCGCATTTACTTTATTCTGTTTCTCGAGCAGGTAAACTCTGACATAAATGAGAGGGGTTTTTTTAACCAAAAGATGGCATAAATTTTGAAGTTGAAAAATCTAATTTTGGGATTCTATTGTCTTGCCATTTTAGAGCCGTGTGTTAGGTGTGACAGAGCCCTTGTGGGCAGGTGGCTTCTTCAGGGATGGTTGCATGCGGTGCTGCAGGCAGTACCCGGGAAGTCTGGTTTTTATGATTTTTCACTTTCTCTCTTTGCTGCTCTTGTTTCTGGCAGCTATTTTATTTCTTTCATTTGCTTTTTTCTCAATCGTATGGACTTAAAAAGCAGATAACCAGTCTCAGCCTAAAGTATGTAGCAATACTAGAAAGTAAACTCTGGCGCCTCGGTGAGAGGAGGACAGTGGCAATAACAGAGGTGTCGCTCAGTTGTAGGGACCCTTTTTGCTGTGTACTGCAGTATTTACACACATGGCCACATTTAATCACCTTAGTAACACTGCTGGTGCTATTATCATCTTTCATAGTGGGTAAACTGAGGCATGGACAACATTTTCCCCCTGATGTTACTAATTGTACGTGGTCTGGAATCCAGCTCTGCCCGTATGTGAGGTGCATGTTCGTGCCTGCTATGCAAGAACTTTTTCAGATCTGTTCTGTATTTAATTTCCTGCATTTCTTCAGAGTCAGTGAATTTTCCCGTCTGTAGCCCACGGGGTCGTACTTAGTGCCTCAAAACTCATTAGCAAGTTCTGTGATTTTGGATGCGTGTCATGAGCTAGGCATTAATATCCCTGTTGTCCTCGTGGGGAAAGAAAGCACAGAAAAGCAAGGAGGTATTTAATTTTGTTTTAATGTTGGATGGCAAGTCCGGAGGCAATAAACGAACCAGAGAAGGCGGATGGGAAGTACTAGAGGTAGAAAGTGGGGGCTGGTGAGGGGCCAGCAGAAGTGAGACCATCAGCAATACAGATTCCAAATAGATAAACAAATAAATGAATAAATAAATTAAAACAACACCAAAAACCTGGGCTGGAAGATAACTCAGAGGTATAAGTGACTGCCTGGCAAACACAAGGTAATGAGTTCAATTCCCGGTACACAAAGAAAAAAAAAAGCAAAGCAATATAGACACCAGTGCTAGAGGATCACTAGGTTCTAGGAGCTGATATTTAGAAAATCTCAGATATATGGAAATTTTCACTTTGGGAGGCCTCGTAAATGTTTTCTTATTTTATGTTGCTAATGTCTGATTAAACCTGAAGATTATTACTTAAATGTTAAGAATAATACTCCTCAGCTCTTTGCTGCCAGGGTAAAAGGAAGCGGTCCAGAAGCCCTGGACAAGTGACCTTGGAATATGAAGACTCTGGATTTCCAGGATTTGTCCTGTGCTCACACTGCAATCTTACTAGCGTTGCTTTGCCAAACCAATAAATGCTATTGGTATATGAGTTCTAAGTAATTGAAATTACTTTTTTCTTTTCTGCCATTTAGAAATGGGCAGTAATTAAAGCAGGATCATGTAACATTTCAGTTTTGAAGGTTCAGGACTTTTTGAGTCTTTTGATCTTATAGTCTTGCTGACAGTTATATGAAATATGTGATGTTTTGTATTGGTGTTCAAATGAAATTTTATGTCCATTATGGGAGTGCTTTTGACATATTTATATAAATTTATGAATGAAGTTTGAGCAAACTTATTATGAAAATTTTAAAATTAGATTAGGATTCTTTTTGTGTGTGTGTGTTTTAGGGAAGGGTCTACAGGGTTTTTAGGGTTTCATTACTAAATTGGACTAGTAGTGATCTGCCTGTTTACAGCCTCCCAAGAGCTGGGATTACAAGCATGTGCCACCACGCCCAGTCTGAATTGCCATCTCAGTGTGCCCTAGGGGCAGGGCCGGCATGGCAGGCCCAGGGATTGAACCCCTGGTCCCTGTGCCTATTTGTAGGCACTTTAATCAGCGGAGCTATTTGGCCAGCCCCTAGATTAGGAATCCTATAGATTTACATCATTTCCAAATCAAACTTTTTGTTTAAGTGGATGAAATGTGAGCGTGATGATAGGTGTGGCAGGGACTGCTTTTGGGAGCAGCTGGGAGAAATCCTCAAGAACAGGGTAGGAAGAAAAAAAAAAGAACAGGATAGAGCAAACTTCTGGGGGCTTTGTGAGGTATAGTGGTGAAGACTTGGTGTTTGCTGCCGATGTGAAGCCTTGCTGTGCGTAGCGCTTTTAAAGCGTGTGTGTCAGTGTTATACATAAATGGGCTTTGAAAGTTTTTTTAAAATAGATAATTAGGGCCAGGAAGATAACTCAGTGGAATAAGTGCTTGCTTGGCAAGTATAAGGTCCTGAGTTCAATCCCTGGTATGACCCAAAAAAGTAAATAAATATAAAAATAGATAATTAGAATTCAGGTTTTATCTTTCTTGCATGCCCACTCGGTTAGTACCCCCACTCTCCTGTACAGCGTGTCAGTCTCTCTTCTCTCTGTCTTCCTTGCTTCGACCTCAGGGTGATGGAAGCAGTTTTTAGGAATACATTTTGTGTCCTGTGCTGTTATTTTCAGGTACATGGATCAAGAGTTTTTTCTTTCCTACCCCTACCTGGGAGGAGAACAAATCTACATTATCTATTCGTTTATGGTGAGAAGCTCTGACTGTTCTTTCATCCACATTAGCCCCAGCAAAGAGCTCACATGTCATAAGGAGGACATCGGATTGTGTTTAGAAGTCAGCTCCACAAAATGAGGTCCCATCTGTCATTCCCCGTCTCTGTGTTTATTGTGCCTGTCCAGGCCCGGTACACAGTGTGTGTCCAGTGCTTGTTGGTTCAGTGAGTGCTTGTTACTGTCCACATCGCTGTGGTTGCCTTATCAGGGATTTGAATTCTGACTTGACTTTCAGCCCATTCTGTGTCAGCATTGGAATGTTGCTTTCTTTGTCACATTCGGTAGCACT